GCTACGCGACCGTATTTCGTTATCTTGTGGAATTGCAACACTATGGCGCCATGGTGGCTGACCTGCACGTTCCCTCTAATAAGTTTGGCGGTGCTTGCTGATGAGGGTGTCGGCTCAGAACTCAGAAGATGATTATTGTAAGGAACTACAACCTCTCCTTGAATGTAGAGAATACAAATCAAACCCATTCACAGGCATTTAAATTCTCAGTGAAACTTGTTTTTCCACTTTTACCACCACTTTAAGGGAGAATGTTTTGTGTTGCCTAATACGGCTTCAAAAACACCCTTTCAATAAAACGCCCCTAATTATCAATCACGTGGCAGATTGACACCAGCAGGAGATTTGAAAGTATCACCTTAGTGCCTTGCATAACTCGCAAGACTTTCAATGTCAATTAATCTCCTCGGCTTTTGAGCTCATTTTACTGGAAGAGAAGACAAAAAAATTCGTCTCAAAGGTCAGAGCTACTCCAGATTTATAAGCTGAGACAAGAATAAACCTTCAGGATTTTCACTAAATGGGACAACATGCAAACCTAGTCTATGTGGAATTCGCATTTGTATACACTAGTATTCACTCGGTTTGGAAAAACTGCAAGTCCTTACGAATTCCATCCCACTGATCCACAAGCGACCGCGATCTCGTGCTAACCTTACAATACGCCTGTGAGCCAGTGGGGTCATGCTAAATCTCATGGCGTCAAATACCGAATCAGTCAATCCTTCAAAACACAAATGATAATAATATCTTGCAAAGCTTACTCGCACTAACAGCAAGACAGGAAATTGCCACCTTCTCATTAATCTCCCATTGACTTACACTATTCTCATCGAGTTCAGAGGTGGAGAGGGCTTTGGAGTGGCTTCTCTGCCGCCTATTCTGTCCATACTCCCTTAGATGAAAGCGTTTCTTCGCCTCTCCTTCCTCACTGGATACCCAGTTTTCCTCGTAGAAGTCCTTCACCGCTACTCCCGAGGTGACGCTGGGGAGGTTGGTGACCCTTGGCCTCCACCCGTCTATTGAGGTGTCAGCATGGGCGCTGCCCTGCTCGTAAAGTTGATGGTAAGGTTGGCTAGTAGGTCGCAGGGGTCTGTGTTGTAGCGAATGAGACATCTCCTCACTGGGATAGCGTATACGCGTGGTCGTCGGCATGGTGATGTCCTCGGAGATGCGTCTAACTGAAAGTGGACGTTGAGGTGAAAGGCGATTGAAATCGTGTGACTCTCTCATTCGGTGTCGTCTCGATGGCGAGCCGTGAATGCTCACCGCCGTCGCTGGTGGTAGCACCAGACGAGGCAACCGCTCGGGTGGCGAGGGTGTCTGTTCTAACGAGATATGACGTATTTTGCTCATTGCTGAATTAGACACGCAAATACACACATAAACACAAATGTGGCGTTAGGCGCTTGGATATACGCGTGGTAGATGTGTGGGTGTGTGAGGGTGCGTTCTGCTGCTTTCATAGGCCTGTGCCGCTGCTCATTGGTCGCGCTGCTGTAATGAGTTCAAACGCCGGGGCCCTACTGGTGCAGACTGCTCAGCTGTTCGCTTGCTATCCAATTGATTCGCACCCTCTCTTTCAGCACCCTAATCGCGGTTTCACGGAAGGCATAATGAGGCGCTGGTGTCTTTTCAATCAACCGATCAATCAGTCAGTCAACCAATTAACCACTTCTCAACACTCGGAATAACATTAACAGCTTCTCCTGCTCAAACAAACATGACATGTCAATCCTTCAAGTAAGTTACTTTTTCGAGACGCTCGAGGAATGGAAGGTAGGGGGTCAAATTATGATCACGTCGGATTCTACATTGTTTTAATGCATAAATAATCAGACCTTGGGCCTAGTGGACGGAAGTGCGTCCATGGGTGCATAAATAAGTCTCCCATTCCCAGTTATGCCTAATATGGGAAATGAAAATGAGTCCATTTTGGATCATGCACCAACCAGCTAGATCAAAATTGGAGGTAACTTGTCTGGGGGTGGGAGGGGGGGAGGAATGAAGGCTGACACGATGTATTCCCACATGGATGGCAGCCCACAAGCACCATATGCCACCTTTCTGATCATGATCGCGCCAATGCAACACCTTCATTAACCGCTAAGTCAACATTGTGACTCACTTGTGTGCTGTGCTGTGCTGCCTCTGCGATAATTAAATTAACCGCCTGAATTAGAGGAGTGCTTGCAACAGACAAGATACACAAATATTCTTATTACCGCAACTAGGCAGTGTCACCGCAATATTCTCCCATGACGACTTACAGTAAACCGATTATGAGATATTTGCAAGAGAGGCAAAAGTTATTCAATTTAGAGTAGTGCCACTTCAACTTGATCCGAGGCTTGCGAAGTCCTACTTTGGTGAGGAGCAATATCACCGTTTGTTTGCATGTGGGGGCTTGCTGCTCATGCAGTTCACAGTTTCGACTCACATCACACCAACCTACTATTGGAACATCCAACTTTATGGGGCGTGTTACGCCTTTACTTCACTTACATTCTAAGGTTGTCAGATGCATCGCTTAATGCGCGATTCGTCTATCGATGGTGAGGAAGGATCGTTTGGAGGAGCTGGGAATTCGCAAAAGACGTTTTCTGAGTGAATTATTGATGGCAGTAGGCGACACCTTGACAAAGAATTTGTTTGTGGACTAAATAATACAAGCGTGGCTTTTGGAATAACTTTTTGGATTATGTGAGAAAGGTAGTCCGGTGTAGTTTGCGTGAACACAGAAATACACTAAGTACTCACGAATCTGGCGCAATGCTCTTCCTCTCTTCCTGCTTCCTTTGACCTTTTCTAACAGGGCAAATTTCGCTTTACCCGTAAAACCTCGTCTCGGTTGCGTAAATATTTGTAGAAAGTGAGAAAAGCCAATGCACACTACTTCGGCAGATAGAAGTCGTGACCCAATTCCCGAATGCTACGAAACATAAATTTTAGTAGATTTATTAGCGTTTATCTGAAATCCACCCGAGTTTTCATGCAAGCATAAAAAGTAGTGAAGTTAAATAGGTGCTTTGGGTAAAGGTTGCCTATTTCATTGGTGTATGTAGGCACAAGTGGACCCGGTAACTCCCTTCTGTTACCCGCAGATGAACAGGCGTGATCACACCAAGGCAATTAAACAACATTTTACCATTGCCGTTGACAAGCGGTGTTGTTTCACGTGAAAATGAACCGAGGCAGTTATCACTGGGGTCAAATTATGGTGGCGGTGTATGCTGACAAGTCACGTGCACAACCAAATTTGGTAGCAAAGCCACATTCAATGTGATAGCAGTCGTATACCCTCAACATTCGCGCTAGAAACGCAAATTTATGATAAGCAAACTTAGACTTGGTCAATGAAGATCCTTATCCCACTTTTTCATTCTGAATTGACAACTTGTGCATTAGCCTCACCTCCGGAGGCGCCTTTCACTTTCCTTCTCGAATGGGCAAATAGAAATAAATGTGGATGAGCATCATCTGACAGACCCTAAAGGATGAGGGCGAAGGACACCGAGACTCCGAATAATCATAGTTTGATGATTTAAAGGCCAGTTTGGCATGTGACGACGCAACTCTTGGATGAGAAAGTTTCACTCCCTCCTTCAGTGAATCAGTCTACACAAGGGCTGAGGCGAGCAAAAATCGCCTTACATCATCAAAATTTATTGACTGAACCGATCTAAGTGCGAAAATACATTGCCTCACTAGAAAAACTCACACAAATAATTTCGAGTTAATGCTGCATTTTCGTACTGAATGTCATTTCATTACTAAAATGCAATGAAAGTATGCGTCAAGATTGGCAGCGTTTTCATTATCTTGAAAGAATGAATCCAGATGTCCACACCAAATGGAAAGTTCGACCCGGGGCGGGTCTTTGAAGGCACCTCCTTATAAGCACCCCACGAAAAGGTCTTTGAAGTCCTACTTCCTCCGAACGCGCCAGTTAAATTTCCAGCTGTAGGCTTACAAAATGCCCCTTTCGACACAAAGAAACACAACTTTTTCACTATTTCCGGACAAACAATTTTAGTATTTTTATCCATGACCTTTAGCACTCCGCGCCTGAATTTTTGGTGCGACGATTTTTTCACTTAACAGTAGGTAACAACCCGAAAAAAACTTGTTTATTTATTCACGATTCTGTCCCATTCATTTCGTTGTAACTTATTACCTTACTTGCTCTGCAGGTAAGGGGCTAATCCTCTTTGAGTATGTTCCCTTTTTATTAAGCCAAGCTTATTTAAGCTGGTATCCATGTAAATGTGATATCGCTTTTTCCACTAATCTCATTCGTTGTGGTGGGAATCAACGCCCACGTCTAATGAAACCTCTAAAGCGCTGCCAGGAACACTCATTCACTATTCAATTGCCGAAAAATCCTTGTCAAAGTACCTCATTTAAAGCTCCAAAGTAGAGTTCTAGTTGGATACAAGCAAATTTTGATTTGTGAAAATATGAAAAAACAGTGAAGGTAAATATGAGGCGATTGTGTGGCAGTAGTGGGAATGGAGGCGTTTGCGTGACACTAATTGGCATCCCTTTTTGCTTCCAAATCAAAGGCTACTACTCAAGAACTCAAAACCTGCTTTTATCTTCAAAACGATGGTATGTTACATTTAATTTACTGTCTTAAACTCAATCAACCAGTTTGTAGCACAATTAATTAATCACAAATATCACAAGCTTGTGGAGTTGCGCGTCACGTATGTGTGACGCAGGTGGCGAAAGCGTTAACAAGTAGGAGTAGCACTTTCACTAATTTGCTAGGATGCAAAACATTCTATAAATGAAAATAATGAGCCAACTGAGAATCAAACTTCAAAACAAAAAAAATTAAATCCATTTTTAGGCTAATTAAGCGTTTAATCAGAAACTTGCTTTGAAGTCCAAATTCCATCATTGCCATTAGCATCAACATCACTGATTTTGTTTACATCAGAGACCGCCTAATCATGGCTCCTCTTATCTTGGTTTCGCAGTTTGGTCGAGGTTTCATATCAGGGGGCATTTTCTAAGCTTAGAGGATTAGTTTGCCGTAGCCCTGAACGACTTAACTGTTGAGTCCTATGGCTTGGGCGTCGAAAAGCCTTGAGAGGGCATGTAGTGGGGTTGGAGAAAAATGGACTTAATTTCTAACCTTCATGTGGAGATTCCAAACATTTTGAATAAGCTTTCATACTATGATTTGACTGCTAATATAAACGATTGTGGTTCTGATGGTGTGCCCAATGCCCTCAACACACTCAGGAAACATAAAGCTGACCTCGCCTTCGTTGAGCAAGTAATGGTCGGGTGGCGCGTTGTCTCACCTTGGTTTTTTCCGGCTAGGGTCGGACTTGCGGCGTAGCTCATTCACGATTCGTAGCAGGCGATATAGTTTTCGGTTATCCAGGTAAAAGCAAAAAACGGCAAACGGAGTTTAAAGTCATTTTTGTGAGCAAAAAAAACTCATCATGGTAACTACTTTGCCTTTTAGAGTCACGTACGTATGTGTATCGCTTCGACTTTCTTATTCGAGGCCCCACGTGGCATACATGTGTCACAGTTAATTAAAAGAAAGCGAAAGGAAAAGCTAAATAACACTACTTGGAACTACAAAGCATCTGGTCTCTGATGGCCGGTTTCTCTCGGAGACCGGCACCGACTGTGGGGAAATAAGGTATTTCGTGGCTGACGAGCAACGCTTTTGTCTTTTCTCAAAAGCTATCTGTTTACAATTTAGTCTTAAAAAGGCTTCTTTTAAATCCAGTGAATTACTATTTTCGCTCTGTTCCGCCGTTCCTAATCACTTACCTACCTGTGGAATGCCAATCTTTGCAAGGCGGTAAACTGTCGCAACTACGAGACCTCTCAACGAGGCAAAAATAATCTTCCCAAAGACCCAAATTTTTGGCGGTGGCAAAGCTTTTTCACGTAATAGATGTGGAAAGGAATACTTCAAGTGGAGATGCACAGGAATCGGGCCAGCATTATGAGGAGGCAAGCTAGCAAAGGGATTTAGACATGAATCCTACAGTACCTAATGGCAAGAGCTCCACATAGCGACTGGTGGGGGCTTTGATCCACCGCATCCGGCTGCCACTTGTTCACATTCGAGAACGCGAAGGCTGTCCCTCAAAGTGTGTAGCGCATTCCAGGTGAACGAATTTACGGACATGACGCGATTGGCTGGCTGGTGGGGAATTGCGTTAGTATCGATCCCCCGTACGCACACACACACGCACTCACGGAATCACTGAAGCGCGAGGAGATGTTTCAAGGGCGCCCTGTCTCAAGGACGTGACTAATTAAAGATGTCTGTTGATGAGTCCGTCACTTACGCAAACACGTAGGAGTGAGCGTGCCGCGGGGTGTGGGTCACCGGTGCCTACCTCAGGTGAGGAAAGTTCAAAGTAAATTTGGGGAAGAATGACACCAACGTGAGCAATTGTTCGCTTTATGTCTGTACGAAAATTCAAATTTTGGGGATAACAACGGCCTATTTTATAGGGGCAAAAGCATATTTATGGACTGAATTAACATTCCATAGGTTATCGGCCATATCAGCATCTAATTGGAGAACAGAGTTATACATGCTACTCAAGTGCATTTATCAGTAGTTGGTGAACTAAACCATGCAAGTGGTCTTATCGTATTTCAACATATTTTTAGCCATATAACATGAAATGCTTCACTTCAATGCAGAAAAGAGAGCATTTCCATGGCTCTCCTTGGCTTTTGTTATTCTGTGAAAAAAGAGACGGTGGAAGTTCTTCACCTTCTAATGCAAGTTCTACTGCGGAAATCATGAAGGAGTGCTGATAGGGCTTAAAACCTCGACGAATGGCAGAGCTACGATCAAATGCTGTACGTCATTTTGCTAAACGAGAATTGGGTTGAGAACTCCTGTCCCATGAGAACAATCTGAATTCGGTTCGATGTGGTGAGTATTGCATTGAGGGAGGACGCACCACAAGTTTTTGCGGCCTCACAACTCTCCAACATTGAAATGAAGAAACTGGATAGATGGATACCTTAGGAATCAAACAAGCTTTATGTAAGAAATGGGTCATCTTAAAGCTGTTCTCTCTGCCTTACTGCCACAGAATAAAGACTGAGTGGACCCTTCCAGTCTCCCTCGATTCAACCTTCTCGACACCAATACACAGTTCAGCTTATATCATCCAGGCTAATAGCCTTCCTGCTCCTCTGCAAACCAGTTCAAAAGATCCCTATCAGTACCTATGCTTTTTAACACTCTCAGAGATAACCGGAACTCAGGTTAGGAAATAATAAAGCACTAGAGCATGCTCTGCAATAAACGCCAGTATGGTTGGGGAATTTTTGTACCGCGGCTCTGAGGAGCCTAGTCAATCGAAAGCATGACCCTGGTATTGGTCAACAGAGAGTAATATGTCCACCTTTTTGAAGGACAGCATGACCGAAACTGCGTGAATCGCATTCAAGTGGTGAATCACAACTTGCATGCGGCAGTAGACTACGTGTTGTGACTCGAGGAAGAACATTCAGCTCATTTTATTACGGCATGGTAAACGCACCACCTCCTCACTGGTTGTTAGAAAGCCATCATTACTGTAGCTAAGGTGTAGCAGAGATGATTTGGTCGTATTCGGCTAGATTGATCTTACCCTGTGATACGCAAAAAAAGAAATTTATTTGCTTTAAAAGTCCTACTTATGTACAGTGAAATATTGCGGACACTCTGGTCTATGAGACATGGTCGCCTTCTTCACACAAGAAGAACCGATTATTGCCCGATTCAAACCTGGATTGGATCAATCAAGCAAGGGAATCTGCTCCATAATCGCCTTCTTATTTTCAAAGACACGCAAAAAGAAATGCCTACTTGTGCAAAACGATGGCACAGATACGTCAACTCTGGGTGTGGTCTTCGCAAGGTTGAAAGGGGCGTGGCAGAGGCAACACCTGGCGGAATGCCTGAGTTCCGCACCACTTCTTCCCTTTCGTTCAAAAATTTGTTTTTGAGAACCTACTGTTACGCATTTCCCGCACTTATTAACCGCCGAGTATCAAGTGTGATCTGATTCAGGTGCACGACCACCCAGTTCCATAGCATTCTCTCGGTGAACCTCACAGGGCAGGATTTCAGCATCACCCTGTCAGGAGGTGAAGGAAAAAAAACCAAGCGTGGAAGTTGCATCCAAGTCTAGGTCTCTGAAGGTCATGCTCAAAATGACTTAAAATATCCCTTAGCATTCTGGCGGGCGGAAAGGACTCAAATTCCTTCAGGAATGTGGAAACCGAATTTTGGAAGTAAGCCCAAACGCGGTTGGTCCTACAGACATTTAAAAGAACGTCTGGCAAAAAGTGGAAAAGCTTCGTTAAAGCCGAAAACATTCTTCTTTGAAAAATTTAATGGCTGTGTCAGCCAGAAGTGATTGCGAAAATTTCTCCTTAAATAGTTTGGTGTATTTGGGCAGCCATCTTGCGTGTCTCACTAGCCTTCGGTGGAACGTGGAAGGTAATTCCTTCCATAAATCAGGCCATAAATCATTGATACAATCTCGATTATGAAAGTTGGAAGAAATTATTCTGAGTGAAGATGCTAATGCCCAACTCAAAGAGCATCAAGCGGTCCCCATCCCCATTGGTTGGTGGCATGCTTTCTCGCACTCAACGGTGGTAAAGTGAAAAGGATTATCGACAAACCAAATACTTTAGAGAAAACTACAACAGATTTTAATACAGGATGTAAACGGTTATGTATACGAAGTCCTATTGTACCTCGTTTGCTGCCGGAAACCGTCTCAGAGGCAAATCTAACACCAAATAGCTCGGACGGTGTCCCCTACTGTCACCTTCAGCTTTTTCCTCGAACCAGGAGCACCTCACAGCTATTTTATTTTTCTGAAATCAATCATAAAACTGTTTCAAATCGTCAATAACAGTCCGAATTTATTATTTGGAGCTGTTTGTTAAAAGTCCAATCATTCAGGTTATGCTTCTTGAGGCAGGATTGAACCGTTTTCCTACCACCCACTCTGAGCATCCAAGGTTGATCGTTCTGGCACATGACCATCATAAAGGGTCACTGGTTCGATCGAGCCAGAAAGGTCTGGATGTTGGATTTACCTAAGGGAACGATGCCCTTCCTAAATCTGATTAGAAACGAATATAGTGTAGTCTTAGTGACACTTAACGGTATCATGGCTATTTCATAGATCATCTACTCGAGTCTGAGTATCGAAGGTGGTGTTGAGTGAACTTTGGACTTGTTGACACGCACTCAATTTATTCGTTTTTCGCAGAACAATGACAAGACGATCTTAGTTTTGATTGTACATTTAACGACGCTATCCGTTTCGGTCCCTACCAGCGGGTGCCGACGGCCTTTTAACATCAGTTATGCCACCAAAGAATAAAATAATTCCATATTACTTACACCCTAGCATTTCTGAGCTCACTACACCCTATCTGATTACCAGCAGCTCCGAGGCATTTCTATATCAACGAAACACTAAGCTAACTTATTTAATTACCGGGGCTGTTCCACATCACCTCGAACCTCTTCTGAACAGAAAAAAAAAAGAAAGGTAGAATTAGGGAAGACTGAGAGATGATGGGCCCTCTTACGGTTCCTGGCCGTGATGTCCGAGACGTATCTGTGCGCATGGAGATGATGGAAGGGGTTGCACGGAGGTCTATGCTCCATGACATGGCGGTCCATCGCGACGTCGCGAGTCCATGCAAGGGTGAAGGAGAAGAGGTGGTAAATCGGACTCCACTGGGTCGCACGACTGCCTGCATAAGTAAGCAATAACGTCAGCAATTCGCCGTCTATTCCTCACTCTTTCTCACTCGCACGCGCATTTGAATCTGCGTGCGTTCGTGTGTGCGCATTGGCTCTTTTCAAAGGCCGTCTTCGACAGGCCCTGGTAAACTGCAGCAGGTCTACTCACCTGCCTCATTTGGATCAAGACTAAGTATACACTAATGTAATGTCACTACTAACATCTCCCTATATCTCCTTTGGAAAAGAGACAGACAATGGTCGTCATTTTTGCGCACTGCCAATGATTGCTCGGGTGTTGTCGGAGGAGGACTTAAACGTTTGGCGTGAGAAATATGCACGCTTTACGCACTGCGATGACGCGATTATTTACTAACTCTTGCCCTCTGACAACTCAATAAATACGGCTGACGTAGTTGCGATAGCTAACGGATTCAGGTCACTGAATAAACACCCCTTCAGGCGTCAGTAACGTTGCAGGGTGATGGACATGATCAGAAGATTCCACTTATTTCTCCCTAGCATTGCACACCAACTAAACAGATTATTCCTTTAATCCTACTAGTGTCGTCACCATTCAAGCTTTTGAGGACTCGTTACGGGAGATTTGTGCAAAGATGCGATTACCCAAACAGACGAGCCAAATGGAGTTTGTTTGAGGTGCACTCGAGAATAGGACTAACCTCAACGACTGCAAGCTGCAACCCAGTCCTCCCTGCTACACTCAACCCACCCTTCAACAACTACTGCCTGGCCTGAGCCTGAAAAGCAGCATCGGCAGAGGAGTAGGGTTTGTCAGTGCTACTAAACCACCCTCGACCAACATGCTTTGCCTCATGTTCACCACCACCATCACTCTGATGTTCAACTTGGTTTCGGGGGGAAAAGATGCACCCAGGTTTCGTTAAATGGCATGGATCTCAGAATCTCAGCTTTCCTCCTCGTCCTCCGCCTTGACAAGGCGTTCCTTCAACTACCTCAGTGCATCCTTCAACTCTTATACGCCGATCCGAAGCGGAAAGCTGTCGTGGAACTCAGACTTCAGCAATTTTTCGAAATCGCCAATCTTTTGGTTGGTGGCTAGTTGCATCCACGCCTCCCACAGAAGGATATGTTTCATGTGGAACTTCGCCACACGACAAGTTAAGTTGTGTGTTGACGTGTGGCTGACTGCTTGTGAAATGTTATTACTCAAACCACCCGAATGCACTACTGATGCATCGTTGCTGATGAGTACAGTACCACCGACACACCACACTGTGTTTGGAGGGTTCAGGCTTGACACTTCAGTTGATAAGGGACTGTAAAACCAGGTGATGTTACCTGCCATTTGGATTAACGGTGTTTGGACTAAGGCGTGACATGATCACGAGTTGGAATAAGTAGTAGTCAAACACGCTTGTCACCTACTACCCTCTAGAGTATCGCCAGAGTAGAGCCCCTCCATATATCCTAGTCCAGGGGTTTGAAAGTTCTGATTTGACTTGAAATTGCATGAAACGCTCTTATCAAACAAACTCTGCATTAGCCTAACATCGACACGCCTATGTGCCGAGGCATCGCGGCGTTGTTCGTTTGGCGTTGACGAGATAAGTAGACACGAGTTGCCAATTACGCCATTTGCGTTGTCATATCCTTTGCCCACTTCATCTGTGTCAAAGTTTTGTTCTTCCCGTTGGGGTTGACTTCTACCTAGAACTGTACAACTGGAGATTCAGTCGAATAATGACATTGCTAGTGAAGGTAGTACCTCTGTGGGGTTCACGATTCAACAATCACCTGAAGGCTTTAAATTTTCGCTAGGAACGAGTTGCGAGTCGAAGTCAAATTACTCGACATCCCGGAAGTAACACTGCAACAAGTTTGTTGCAGTAGAAAGTGAATCTCGGATATTCAAGGGACCACCGTGCCTTTCAATGCAAGAAATTGGCTCACCTAGAATGCTGGTTTTCTTTGCTGACACAGCCCAACGCCGTAGTCTCCAATGCATTGAAATTACCATAAAATCCTTTTGACAGTGTGATTTAAGAAACATTCATGGAAGATCGAAGTAGGCGCCAGCTAAAAACCTGATTAACATCTACTTTCGAGCTAAACACTGTCATCATAGTCGGCTGCGGTTGTTGAATGTCCGCCAAAAATGATTGGCCGACCCCCTTGAAAGGCGGCACACGTTCGTTCAATGCCTCACTACTGATTTATTCCAGACGGTTCTACACGGATAAAGTAGTGAGCACCTCAAACCTGGCTAACAGTTTAGACGTATTTACGACGGGACCACCGTGCCTTTCAATGCCTAAACGACTTCCATTTTTTATTTTCACCAACACATAAGGCAAATACTTCAAAAATGCCGGAACAGACGGCCACGCATTCGCGAATTGCATGTTTCACTCCCTCAAGGTGTCTCTATTTTTCCACAGCCACAGCAAACTCCAATGCCACAGAGAATTTTGAAAATGTAAGTACTTTTCATCACTAAGAGCAAGTATTCTCGGTAAAAAGCCATCAAACTGACGTATGAAAACAACTTATTTGTCGCAAATCAAGAGTAACTACACGGACTACTTTGATGTCGCATCTTGAGAATAAATACGTTCAACAGAGAGGCACTTCCACGACCTAACAGATGGATAGGTGCCGGTCTCCGGACAGGGTAGGTACACCAGAGGGTCCTCTAGGGCCTCCGTACTGCACGTCCAGCCCTTCAGCAGCTCCACAGACTCACACAGACCCGGAGACTGCTTTAGCCTCTCCAGTACGTTCGCGTACTACAACGACAAGGACAACAAGGGATGACAGAGAGGGGTTAGCAAGGCGTCTAACACTAAAGTGTTGATGAAAAAACACGCTGGTAGTATTTGTGACCGTACACAGATAAGGGCTCGGGATGCGTATACATGTGATTACACGGAACAGCGAACACACGCATGCCTGCAATTAGGGTGATGCCACGTGGATGTTTTAACGTGTCGTCAGAAGTCATGCAACACGCTCGTGCTGAAAATGGAAAAGAATATCCTTAGCTTTAACAGTAATTTTTTCCAAACGGAACTTTCTAACCCATCCTTCTGAATCGTTCCCCACGCCTGTGTCACCTACGACACTAGTAACTCAATGCTTCCAGATGAAGGTAATGCAACCACTTCCACTCTTTCACCTAATAACGTCTCCAAAGCGAAATTCAGCACCACACTGGTGACAGCTTTGGCAAACCCATTTCGAAAAAACAATATTAAGATTTTAATAATCGAATAATACGGGTGAAAATCGCGGAAGGAGGTGGCTGTTGTTAATGATTGAATATGCGGAAACTCACAATAAAGGAACTACCCAAACCGTGTTTAGCGACGGAGTGAATCGAGATCGTCCCTAATGAACCACCTACGATATTGTCAGGCAGGCACTAATTTGGTACCGTTCGCTTATATTACTTTTGAACAGTCATTACTACTACGAAAAGCGCTCGACGTTCGGAGCGTATTCGCTACATAAAATCAATCCCATTTCACCTCGCCCTGATACAATCAGCCTAATAGAGAACTCAATTTCGTAGGCATCTCATTGAAAATGGTGAGAGTACCACCCCTTATAGAACAATAAGGAAATTTCCTCGTATAAGCTTAATGCATACACCGAGGCTGGTAGCAATTCCATGGAAGTCATGTGACGCTCGAAGCAGAAGAGGGACCACTGGGGGCGCCAGGAACGGGGCTCAAAGTAGAAGAAACCATGGCGAACAACCATATTTACAGATGATTTGAGCACTGCCAGCCTTTTCCCATTCGGTGTGGGGTCCTACCAACATCACTCATGCTGCTCGTCTCCCGCTCCTTCTTTATGCTTACAAAAGTGATTTTTGACCAGTCCATCAACCTTTTCAGAGATCGATAGGATACCAATAATACCATGTGATTAAGGCAGCCAAAGCAGAAAAGGGACCACGAGGAGCTCCGGGGACGGCACTCAAAGCGAGAATTGAGTTAGGCTTGGTGGATTCATATGCCACCTAGAACCTTCAGCTATAACTCAGACATAGTATAAAAGTAAGATAAACACCGGACCTCAAAGACCTTGATCAGTAGTCGGAGGGTGGGGAGGGGGAGGGGGAGGGCTGAGTGACGCAAATGCATGCGTGACCCACGTGCCATTTTGCATGCTTGGTTTTGCAACAAAAACCTCAATTTGCATGAGGAACCTATTAGTGTGACACATATGGGAAAGAAGCAACGGCAAAATAAAAAGCAAGGCAAATGTTGTCTAAAAAAACGTCTTTTTTAGAACATCCCCTACTCCAGAGACAGAAACTAAGGTACAGTTGGTGAATCTTCAAAAGAGATTTACCACAGTAGGATTTGTAGCACAGGGTCGCTATTGCCTGATTAACAAGTATTAGGAAATAGACACATTCACCCAGCGAAACGGAGATGGTTCTCATAAACTATGTTTGTTTTAGCCTCTTTTACAAAGCAAAAAAACCAAAACCAAAACGTAAAAGTAGCTAACAGTGGCATATGACAGGTGTCATAAATGTTGGCACACCTGGAATTTTGGGATTTTTTCCGCAAGCACAAATTAAGGGGAATTTGGGAGCGCAATAGTAGATCTTTGGATTAAACCAAGGCAACGTCGAGGGACAAAGATAGGTGGCTTGTAATAAACTTTTGTGGCTAGGTTTCGAGCGTAAAGTAAACAGGAGGTGCTGTGCTTTCTACAGTAACTAGCTTATGAAGAAGGGTCAATGGACGCTCGTGTTGCCTCGACATAGATTCTAGAAAAGCAGGGTGAATTAACTGTGGCCTTTAGATGATGGTTGTCAGAGTGCTGGATGTCTGCGACCCCAGAAAAACGTTCTTATGCAAATTTCACTCATTCCTTCCTAATTAACTGAAATGGGGTAGCACTTGCTTTAAGGTCAAGGTCAATCGGCGACCATAGGTAGGCTCGAATAAGACGACTCAGTGGCCCGTGTTCAGTCCTCGCCCGTCTTCGCTGACCATTCGCCGAACTCGTACATGCGCGCCGTATCTTTAAGGCTAACTCACACACGTTGGCCAATAAAGAAGTCTGCCTTGGAGGCGTTTTCTGTCCCTTACCCGCTTAGTGATAGGAAACTCAGGTTACAAAAATTGGCAGACGAAAGAGAAGCATTCGCAAATAAGAACGGACGACAATGCGAGTAAATGATGGCAACTAGTCGCACACATTGAAAATCTACTTCATTAGGTAGTTGTCCATGATAACAACTCCGCTACCTTGACCGCTGAGCATTCACAGCGATCGCATCGGCGGAGCAAAGCCCTGATGTGGTGTGTGGGAATTTTTGCAGAAAAATAACCGAGCCTCATGCACCTGTTCCTATGGTAGGAGTGCTCTCAACTACGCGTGGGGTAGTGAACAAGCACAGGAAGGTGTATTTTCGCAGATATTAATCATAACTTAGGTAGCACATCAAGCTTTGGAGTATTAAGCGCCCACTTTAAAATATGCTATCTCAATCACCCTCAAATCAAATTGCACTTTTCGCCATTGTTGATGTTTAAGGTGCGCATTTAGGTCGTGCGATCAGGGCCAGAGAAGCTTCATTCAATCATCCTTGACTATCGGACGACTTGAACCATCAACAAATGAAGCCACCAATTATGAGAAATGAGGAATGGTCTACATGCAATAACTAGTTTGAGAAAGTGACGAGAATCAAGGCGGTGCTGTTGAAAGACAATATTGTCAGCACCGAGGAATGCTGCTGATCCAGCCCTCTAGGCATAAAACCACTTGCTTTCAGCAGTAAAGTTGCGCTGTCTTCGGGCCGGTTTACTGCCAAATGGCTGTAAAAAGTTGGCAACAGGGCGAATGGCTACTGATGTGAGAATTATCTCGCTAATAATCAGTCGTAATTGGTAAATAAATCGGGACAACACTGGAATGACAATACGCCACTTGGACCAATAATGCTGTGTTTACAATGAAGATGGAAATTTGGATTTAAAAACCCACTATGTTCGCCAAATCACCTTGGACAAACCAATCAGCGTAATCTTAATGCATTAAACCACTTTAGCTGGAATACATAACAAAACTAACCTGGGAATGGAAGCCAGATACTTTGTACTCTGCTATCCAATGGCATATGAGGCACAAACGGATCACAAAAACAATTCACAGAGGAGAAAAAGGTGGGTGGCAGAACTGACCTTGATGCCAGCAAGACTATTGAGACAGGCGGCAGCCCACACCCATCGAGCTCTGCAGCTATCCGGCTTAAGCGACTCCCTCTCCACGAGATCACACAAGTCTTCAGCGAGGGTGGAGAACAAATCCTCCGGCCCAGGAAATGGTAAATCCACCTTTAGATCCCTCAGAGTGGCCCTGGAAGTGAGAAGAATGACCTTTAACTCTCGAAACCAATATCCACAGATGGTACAGACTTCGATTAGGAGTAGTGAGCTAATAACTTAAGCATGGTTGTAAGTGATCAGGTCTTTTAGGTGCCCAATTCACTGTCAACTACAAGTTCTCCTTCGTAACACCAACTCGTTTAGACGGGTTGACAGCAAACTGAATTAGAGCCAGTTAATAACTCAGTGGTGGGTTGGTGTCAGTTCAAGTCCACCCCCTGTCTGCAGCTGGAGCGAACGTGTGCCGCCTTTCAAGGGGGTCGGCCAATCATTTTTGGCGGACATTCAACAACCGCAGCCGACTATGATGACAGTGTTTAGCTCGAAAGTAGATGTTAATCAGGTTTTTAGCTGGCGCCTACTTCGATCTTCCATGAATGTTTCTTAAATCACACTGTCAAAAGGATTTTATGGTAATTTCAATGCATTGGAGACTACGGCGTTGGGCTGTGTCAGCAAAGAAAACCAGCATTCTAGGTGAGCCAATTTCTATTTTCTCTTCTTTTGCTTCCCCTCACTACTGATTTATTCCAGACGGTTCTACACGGATAAAGTAGTGAGCACCTCAAACCTGGCTAACAGTTTAGACGTATTTATGACGGTAGACGCATGAACTGCAGCCGCTCGAACATTTCCCATGATTGGCCATTTTCAAGAGATACCAGAATGTAACTCCCCCCCCAACTGTCGTCATGCCTTGTGCATATAGCTGGTCAAACACTTCCTTTGTTGATGCTTAGAGTTGTTCACTCTACACAAACGTGTTTTTGAAAATATCGCGACTGACCTGGTAAGGCTGCTTCGGTCACGACTGTCCGCGAATAAATAGCAACTGAAATGAAACGCGGGTGAGATATTTAGTCGTGTACTTAGGTCTCACTAACAGCACCATCACAACAGTAAACGCGGCGTTTGATTCGCATTCAGATCTAGACACATGACAAACAACGAAAGCATCAAAGATTAACAGAAGACCTAGGTGAAAATCACAAACAACAACCACTATCCAGTGCGGTACGGTAAACATATTTCGCTGGTCGTAAGAAGATCACGCATTTCCAATTCTTCCTGTAAGCAGAGGATTCTAAACTGACTGGGATAAAGCATCCTATTCAAAGAGGAAGTTGTCCGATTCACATGATTTGCTTTAGGGGGACTCCCTACTGTTTCGAACTAAAATAATGGACATGCAATAGGAGGACTTCTGGATCCTATGAACCAATCCCCTTTCTTCGATTAGATTGGAAGGTGAAATACGCGGATCCAGGTGGGATTTTATCACTGAGACTGTGTGCAAAAAATAATGAAGGTTAAAACTGTTACCTAGGGAAAGATAAAGAGCATATCCCATTGACCATTAGCCAGAAAAGTCTTACTATCCGATTCTACATGTGTAAACTTGAACACTAGAGAACGTCAAACTCTATGCAAAAAAATGACAATGAACAAGAGCACCAAGATCATCGTCTCGCCATTGAAGGAGAAACTGGGCAATTGACCAGTTAAGGAGACTACCAGGTCTTACAAATCCAAACACCTTCATCGTTGAACTGAGAATTCTGCACTTACACGAGACAAAATGCAACACTGGATCTACACAGCAAAATTGCGACGATCAAAAGTGGTCAACAGTTGCCATAACAAAAGCTATTTGGGGAAATGGGTAGCACGTCTCACTGGTCTTTTGGTAAAGGAGCCCAATACGGTCGATCCCAACTACGCATGCATTGGTTGTGATAGGGTAGAAAATTTAAACCTCTATACAACTAACCACATAAACCTATTCCTACACCCCGAAACCGGTCCTCTCTTTACCACCAAAATGAGTTACTGACAAAGAGGAGACGAACAAACCTACCGGATCCACGTGGAGTCGTAGAGCAGGGACTGAGGTTGATCAGTGCTGTCTGCGGTAGGAAAAGAATGAGGAGAGAAGAGAGAGGCGCGACCAGACCAGAGCTGCGCCCTCAGCTCTTGATAGAGGAAGGTGACCAGAAGGCCTGTGCTCCGCACCACCAGTCGAGGCGCACGCAACGGAGGAGCATTGGAGGGTTGGAGGAGGACAGAGGACTGCTGGCGGCGGCACCACCGGTGCACGATGTAGACCAGTGCTGTGACCATCGGAGCCACAAAACAAGCCAACAACTCCGAGCCACTTTTTGAAGGAAACGAGAAGCGTGTAGTGCATAATCAAAAAATAATTTCATATAGCATACCTCTCTTTTACACTTTCCCATGCTACGATTAGTATTAGGTTCACAGATCGTGAGTTTAGTAACAAATATTGCGATGCCTGTTATATCACTGTTCTCAGATTTCTAGAGCTTCAATTTTATGCCATAAACAGTACGTGGGAGGAACAAGCTTAAACTTGCTAAATAAGTCTAGCGATTTCTGCCCAATTCAGGTAATGAGGTCGGAATATGGCTTGGCTGTTTCTGATCCAGCTACGTTGGCAACAGGTAAGTCCGTTTTCCAAAGCAGACAAGTATTTGGGACAAACACATTTCGCGTTGCTCTAGGAAGACTTGAGCATGACGCCGCTCACCTCCCGCGTAAATTGGCGTCTAAACAGAACTCGGTTTAAAGCTTCTCCGTTTTATGGTGGGTGGATCTAGGTGTCAGGCTGTAACGTGAAAAAGTTAGCTGCATAGTCCAATTATGCAGAAATGGGATACTAACTACTTCCCAGCTATAGACATGAATACAGTAGGGCTTAGGGTATAGAAATACATTAGGCATACGCATCCGAAAATTGACACTTTTGGAGATTCAAGCAAAAATCGTAGTTTTCAATTTTTTGCACAAAGAGTCCTCATTGTCAGTGGCAGATTTTTGCAAGCGCTATTGAATCCGCACCTCAGATCGTAGCACAAATAGGCCCGAGTTCGGGAAAGACCATACCTAGGCTCACATTATTTGGGGTTACGACACAAAAGAGTGTTGGTATTTGCTACAAGAATTTTTCCATCATATAGAGAAGGCAAGACCCTAATACCTCAAACAAAAGGAGGTCAGCTAGTAAAAAGGGATAACTGATGAAAGGTCGATGTTCTGTAAATACAGAATTAAAGAAGGAATCAGTCAAAGAGGAGGGGTTTGAGATTTAATTAACGGAAAATTTATTTACAAAGAACTCTAAGAGAGAATTTAGGAGGCAATTTTCATGAATTCAGATCCAAACTCGTGTCTAGTAAATTTCGGAAGAATGGTGAATCCGCTCAAATGTATATCAAATGTCCGTCTAAAAATGTTAAAAAGCAGCAAGCGCCTCCAGCACGATTGACAGAAGGAAGGGCCTTGGCTGCATGACAAGGCATAATATTTCGCCTAACTGAGAAGTGGCAAAAACCAATCAGCTTTTTACAGCCCGGAAACATTGGTAATGCTACCGGTCTCACACACGTGACACCAATGTTCTCGAATGACCTCGGTGTCACTGGCCTCACCAAACCATGTTTCGAACGGACCCAGTCTTAAGCCATGGAGGTAGGACATTCATGGCCTGAGGACACCCAAACTTCTGTTGGAACGATAGAGCATCCGCTTGGTTCCCCGTTAGCGAGATGACGAGACACTAGCACGCTTTCCTACTTAAAAGAATGATTTTACGACCAAACGAATTTGAAAAAGATTTCAACCAATTCCAATTTTGACAAAACTCAGTGCAAAGGCACAAGGAATTTCTTCAGGATGATGCATTGCAGCAAAGTGGCTGCCACGGAGCCAAATGCAAACAGTTGTCAAGTTTACATTAGTGCCACCGAGGTGTCAACAGTGGGAAGGAAATACTACATCGCAGAATGACAAAAAAGGCCAATACGAGATCAGGACAGGTAAAAAGAGAACTGATGTTTTTGCCAGATAAAATAAGGCAACCAATAGATAAAATATGAATGTAGAAGACTTTTCAATTGAAACGGAGATTAGAGTTTAATCACGGTTAACGCACCTACTACTGGTTTCGCACATTTGTGACACGTTCTTGATCAGTTTAGGAATGATTAATAGTTCCCTAATTGTGTAGGGAAAACAGATTTATGGAGCATAAGACATGAAAATAAATGTTGGAGGTGTCTGGTGTGAAGAGAATAATTTCAGCTGTAGTTGAATTTATCAATTCGATAGTGTAAGCGTTGATGACTGGACTGTGTTGGTCGAGTTTTCTGAGACCCCAGCACCAAACGTACTGCGCATTGAGAGATGAAGCAAATACTGGGCTATCGCATAATCATCTTCAGTTAATGCCAACAAAGGATCCAAATCGGTAGGTCTTGGTCAACGGGATTACAATACCCGGTTCCAGCGGAGCACAAAGGCGTTTCGCATAAGCTTATAAGCAAGTTGCACATTTCCACGTAAATTACGTAACCACAGCGAGGTTGGCTGCAGACCGAGAAGAAGAAAGTTAGGTGAAAAAAGTAGCGCACAAGGAAGTACTGTGATGCACTGCAATAGTACGGCAGGTGATACGACAATCCGACCTTCAGGCTAGACGCCGCATGTGCGCGTGGGCTGTAGCGCCGTGAGGGGCAATTTACTCCCGTTACTTTTTCTGTAAGACTACTTTGTGAATTCTCGCTACCGATTAACTACACACACGTGATTCGTCAAGCCTTTGGTTCGAATGGGGGTTTAATCAAGCAAAAAAAACCGGTTTTTGACAACCTATAAACGGTGCCAAAGCTACTGAAGTACAAACCAGCTTTATGGGAGCACTTTGCAAACGAAGAGAATGAATTACAAGAGCTGGAACTAAGTCCAAAACCTAATGAAGGATCAATGAAATCTGGAAGATCAAAGGACTTGGAATGGGAGATTCTAATTTCCCATAACAATCAAATCAAAGGACATGAAGCAGGTAACTGGGAGTGAATAAAGGAGGGCAGAAAAAGAGCTTACAGAGGAAGACGTCGAATTCGTGAGTTGTAGAGGAGACAGAAGTCGAGGCAGTGAATCCACCGCCAGGCCAGAGCTGAACTAACCAGATGGAGGAATGCTAGGGGTGGTAGTGACTCCCCCTCATCATCTCCTACCTGTTTTGTGGTGAGGAAGAAAGTGGCAAGGGACCTTGAAAAATCCCTCACCACAGTGCGCTCCATAGCACCATCGACTGCCAGGCTCCACATCAATTGAAGAGTCTGCTGCTTGAGGAGATGTGCCAATACCTCGGACCTGTCTAGTCTACCAGCAGTGGTTGCTTCTTGATGGTGTTGACATGAGGTAGAAAAAAGTAACCAGTAAAGCCATGACAAAACACACACGGTTCCAGATGCAGGCTGATGACCAACCTTTGGTGTGTTTTTCAGACGTGTCATCGCCTCGTCTTAGTCCGGCGGCACCCTGCCGACGCGCCAATTTGGCAGCGCGTTTGGAGGCCCGCTTGAGCTGTTTGCGGGAGAGATAGGTACCATCACCATCGCCACCCCGCGCCTTGGCCTCCGGTACGAGAGTCTCACCCGCACAGTCAGGCGGCACGAGCTCACATAAGTGCTGGGTAAATTGAACCAGTGGTGTTTCCACGTCTGGAAGGCTATGCAATAGAATGCGAGTGACTTCAGGCTTGCGGGGAGCTAATAATAGTGCTGAACCATCAGTAAAACCTACGTCGTCTGACACTGCAACTGCAAGAGGAGTTCAGGTCAAGCTAGGATTTGGGATCCTACTGTGGCGGTGACAATGAACGAATTATCCTATCATGAAGGTGTGATATGCACCAATGTTCACTCGTAGACTCTAAGCACAGTACAATGCGGCGATGTGAAAATCGCTCACAACAATGCAGCAGTAAGGCATTTGGGTGGTTTGATTAATAACACTTAACCGGTCAGCCACATGGCTCCGTACCACTGGCGATCCTGATCCTGATGGTTCGCACCCCACTATCACAGCAGTTACTCCTGTGAACACCCAGTCAGCTCGTGAGACGTCTGAACCTAGATGTCTTATCGACACACAGCTTAACTTGTCGTGTGACGAGGTTGTACAAGAAACGTATCATTTTGTAGGAAAATGAGGGGTGTAACTTTTACTAAGCTTGTGATTTGATGCTCAAGGTTACTGACAACTGTGAAGTGAAGTGGAGTCTACCAGGCAGCAAACAGTTTGTCCACTAGTACTTCTACAAAGAGTTCAATCACTAAGGTGGAGCGCCTCCCAAAGTGAGAAACGCATTTTTTTCTCCGCCTAAATAAATCATGTTTCTGCTCGTAAATATTCCAAAACATTCCGTAAAATTAATCATAAGATTGTGAGATGGATTCGTTTAGTCAACACGTTAGAAATAAAATGCTGAGTTTTCTTTTCACAAACATCATTAGCATTCTCTGCAGCGAGGTGAGAGTGAAACAGAGCCAGTGTAAAATTCTTTTTTCGCCATCCAAGGTCATTGAAGGCTGCAAAATGCAGCGAAGCTTATTCCGCCAGATACGTACGCATATGATGCGGATCAGACTATAAATGGTTGTCACCTGCGATCCCCCTTCTGCTCCGCTACCGAACGACGGCAAATTAAACGAAAACGAGGTGCTAAATTCAAGAGCAGCTTAAACTTTATTAAGTCTGACTACCGTTTCCTCTTCGTGCATGAAGTTGTTGTTCACCCCCGACCAATGTATGTATCTAAGTGTCTATGCATGATAACGTGTCTCGTCTTATTTGCTCAGGAATATTCTTGAATAATCAGAACGTTCCGCTTTCAGTGACTGGAAAGCAGTATTGGAGCGCGATGCCAAAAATAGAAAATGCGAATAAGCACTTTTAGCTCCCAATTTTTTGAGCCCTACAAAGTATCACCCCTTCAGTTTTGCACCATATGAGGCACCTTTCAAAATCTACTATGGAAGACGGGATTTGACGCTTTAAATGCACAACTTACTGTACTTTTGTGCGCAAAATATTCTGCAGCAAGTTTGAAGAAGCCTTAGGTATAGAAATGTAGGAAGAAAGCAACGGAAGACATGCAGTAACATACGTGGCAGGATTTCAAGGATCTCTTCCAAAGTGCACTAACCACATTTACACAAAGCTCTAAAATCCATGACCCATTATTTGGACTTTTAAGTCCATTGATAGAGTGGTTATGACCTTATTTTCATTGAAAGTGGGAAGCAAGCGTGAGGTTCCTTTGGGTTTATAGGAATAGAATATTGGCAGACCAACCACTACACGAGTAATGGAGAAAATCCAGCCTTGGAGAACGCATTCCAAATACAGGGTTATGCGGTCATGCCAATAACGAGACCGCTGCATTTTAAAAGCTTTGTCTACTCAATGAGGAACTCAACCAGCGTAACGATATGGTTAAGACATGTTCAATAGTTTTTTTTCCGAGGGAGCGCCTCGAATAATCACCTCACTTACTTAAGGACTCAATACAATCTTAACGGAGGCAAGGGGATGGGAAATCAACTTTAAGGGACCTAAAGCAACTTACGGTCTTGAATCTGACATAGACGCGAGGCATGGGTTCGTTTCTAGGAAGACTCGTAAACACCGAATGGTGAAGATGAGCCCAAAAACAGTTTCAACATCCGGTGAATGTATCAATTCTAGGGCAACAACAAGGAATAGACATTTGAGTGGATAATGAGGCATGCTCAGACCCAAGCTTTTAAGATGTCTTCGCGTACCATCGAGGAGACGATGGCCCTCTTTCAGCACGCAGATGATCAGGGTCCATTCAGGCAAGGAATTCTCCTCAGCTTTAGTCAGCGACTCATTTGCAAGGGGTAAAGATCTTCCTTTGGGTTTATTTCCTCCTTGCTGCACGAAGGATGGCATGGACAACTTATCAAAAATAGGATTGGAAGGGAGCAGCATCCAGACGGAGCCGAGACTAGAGTCAGTTAGTGCTGTGCGAAGAGAAGACTCTTCTACAAAAAAATTGCTACTCATTATAAGTAAATATGAAAGATAAATGCAAATGTGATCACGCATGGCATCTAACCCACCAAGAGGTAGACGTGGCAGCTCCACGGGAGAAAGGAATGGATGCAGCTTGAAAAGAGAAGAAGAGCGTATCGGCACAACTGGTGTCACGTAGGTGGTGTACTGGACATCCCTCAAGTACTTCATTGTAGACATCAAAAGCGTTTTGCGAGAGCCAACTGTATCAAACGCTGTGCTCTTGGAAGATCAGAAATTACCCAGTGGGTTACGTACCTCATGGAGGGACCCAAAGTGACGAATTAGGAGGCGTGCGTAGGTATTTTTGCGAATGGAATGATTGTTTGCATCAATTAGTGCGCAAAGCTGATCGAGCCACAAAAATGGGACTAGGGGACTGAGAGTGCAAGCTAAGGAGGTAACCACTCTGTGACGCGAATCCATTAAGTCACCAAGAATCCTCACACCAGCGTTTCGATACCAAAACTCTGATCGGTGCAGAAGCGACAAAGCGATATTATCGAGACAGATTAATGCACAGTGAATGCGTGGGTGGACCGAAAATATCTAAATGGATAAGGACTGTGAGAAGTCGAAACAGACGATAGTGCATTTCATCGGTATGGAACTTACTGTAACAATCATTGAGCACAGTCTAGCAATTTCAAGGGGAAGATGCGCGCTTGTTGAATGCCGAGAAAGGCGATCGAGGGACTCAAACAAATCACCGAATTGCAAGGCGACATCATTTTGAGGAGAATCAAAACCAAGTAAATTATTAAGCGATTCAAGAGACTTCTTGTTATAGCACACAAAGGGCTGAGTGTTCCAATCAGCATTTATCTGTGCAACGTAGGGCGAGAGAATTGATTGAATACAAGACAGCGCACATAACTGAAGATTTTCACCGGACATCTGAAGTCTTTGTATGTGCTCATAAAGGACGGTATTGGGTTCTCTCTGGATGTCATGCTAATAACAAATATAATAATATATGCATATCAAAGAGTACATTAACATGGGCCTTTTCTCTAGGTAGAAGAATTTTCTTTGTCGAAAGATCTACTACAGTCTCATTTTGGCGCTTCAGTGTTCTCCCGAGCTTCAGCTTCACCTTATTGAAATCTCTGACTTTCTTCTTTGCCATTGGACAACGAAACGACTGCCGAAGCGAGCACACGTGTGATTGTAAAGCGCAGCCTGGGTTAGGGGTTATACAAACACAAATGTAATTCATTTAACTCACTTAATTTATTAGCCACTGAAAAAGGAGATAATTATTCAATATTTATAAGGCGTATAAAAATGGATGCAAACAAAAGGGCAGATTGATAAGGACTAACGGTTAGTAAACGAAGTAGGCAAAATATGGAATCGAAAATGAAGCATCTATAAAAATTAGTCTAAATTACGCAGACAATGAACTTGTGTGGCTACGCACAAATGAAAAATCTTGATCAACATCAGGCCGGCAGGAGAAAGTTAATACCTCCAACTATGTGCAAAAGTTTTCCCCTTTTTTCTTTTCCACTAAAAAGTTCAGATTTCTGAAGTAGAAGATAGGCTTAATTGTGTATTTTAGGAGATAAGTCCAATCAATCCAAGGATCTGGAATCAAAGGCCGACAAGGGAATGGTGAATGTTGCACAATTTTGTCAGCGAATCCATACTTCTCCACCTGTTGAACTAAAACAGAAATCGGCGAATAGGTCGAATATGTCATGGACCTTAACAGAATTTTTATTTTGACCGCTCCCGGTAGCCAACTTCGAGGTGGTCAGATACTTCCTTTATCATTACCAAAAGACGGAAGAGAGGAGTAAGGAACGGATCAAAAGTCTCTGGAACCTGGCGGACGTGCCTCTTGCGACCAGTCTTGAGCAAGATCGGAAGGGTGAAAATTCGTTCGAGTCAAATATAGGATCAACTCACATATCATAGTCGGAAAACTTCGTGGCACAGTTGCTAGTTTTTTCTAGCAATTTGGCAAATTATGCTATGAGGTCCAAAACGTGGTAGCATTGATCCCCGTTTGAAGTCCGCTGAGGCAAGTACGTTAATATCTTTGTAGGAAAAGATTTCACGCCTTGCAAAACTGGCGTCAACATGCCTGTCGGAGATACTTGAGAGGCCAGCCAAATCTGATACCTGCAAGGTCGCATATCACTCCTATTGTTTTAGTGGGCCATAGGGATGACGAGATGCTCAAAGAGGAGGCGAAAACCTATTTCACCATGGTCCTCACATAGCGTCCTGATAAAGTAGAAGAGCGGAAGCCTTCGTCTAGGATCTGACTATTGTTGGGCTGGCTTACAACCCCCCACAAAACCATCCTATTCTTTATTTTTAGAAATTTCCATTTTTGTGGCTGGTTTTTATCAGAAACTGAGTTGTTACCGCTATTAACTAATGCTCACTTTTTAACCAGGACCCGAGTTAAGGGTATTCCATCGGACCCACTTACTCGGTAATTAAGGAGTGATGACTTCGGGACAGACGTCTTAACTAATTAACACGGGTAGGTCAACACAGAGGCGTGAGGAGAGGGTACGGGCCTAGTCGTTGACTGGCGAAGAATGCTGGGGACTGAGACAGAGATAATGTCTAAGTCAAGGTTACTCGACAAGCTTAGCCGTGCGAATTTACAGTTGTATAATGTAGACTCAACTAATCAGAGGACAGGTGAGGGCGCGGCTCCCAAAGTGCCCGTAAATTATTTGCAGAAATAGAGAACTCCAAGAGCTCGAATATGGCCGTTTTCGGTAGTTGCAGATATTCCTACTGATTTCCTAAGCATTTTAGATACCATGCTCTCAATATCTCGTCCTGACTGACTGAAATCATAGAAGTCGGACATTAGTTTTGTAATAGGTGCTCAAAGTCTAAAGCCAACCAGCCACTATATCTCCGCGTAACAGTAGAGACTTAGGGATAGTGAGGCAGACTTTACTGGCTGGTCTTGAAATGTGTGCAGGCTCACTGTCTCCACATTTAATCTCTAACATAAGGCGGTAAATAAAGGCCTCTAAATCGAACTCCTGTCCGATGATTACCTACTTGAGATCTCAAAAGGACCTGGGCTGTTGGCAATAACTTTAGCCCAAAACAACTATAGAAAACCGAATCTTGTTAAAGAGGACCCCCTCCTACTATTTATGAATCATTGGGTTCCTTACGCAATTTAAAACGCAAACATTAGCAAATAAAAGTGCAATGAGTTGGTTGTTTAATTTTCGGTTTTAATAATGGGCCATTCAGTAGGTGGTCTGCTGTTTTACCTTCACCAGGTGGGCTGGCCTCCGCACCATGCTGTAATACGATGGCTGTTTATCTCTCGGTTCTGGTGAGGCGCCAATTTGAATTGGCTATTGTATAAAGCCCGGTGGGCTGGCGTCCAGACCATGACAGTAGCCCTAGCACCTTCTCCATACACAAATATACATATTCTGCCCCAAAAAATGGTCTCCTTTCGTCCTCAGGGAAGTCTCGGGGCGCTATAACGTAATTAGACTCAAGCCCTACTGCATGTCAAATATGTACACATTCTGCCCTAGTATTATATCTTCAACCGTCTTCTAAGGAGTTTTTAGGATGTTAAAATGATGTTTGAAGTGGGATGGAAGACAATTATTTGGCATTGTCTGCAATTTTAAAAAACTTCGAAATGGTTGACATTAGAGCCTAAGGAGGAAACAAGCTACATAACCATGTGACTTTAACTTTTTGTATACTCTTATAACACTCTTTAATCAAATACTCCCCTATTACACTCTTCTGCAATACGATAGTGGTTTATCCCTCGGTTCTCGTGAGGCGCCACTTTTGTGCTTTGAATTAGCCCCCTTGTACCTCGCTGGGTGGGGTGGCCCAGACACCTTCTCCGTGCTAAATATATATTCTGCCCGAGCATTGTGTCTTCTTTCGTCTTCAGGGAGTCTCGGGACGCTACACTTCTGCTCCGCACAAGTGCGTGAAAGCCTAGATGGAGGAGAGCAACTCTGAGCCCGTTATTTTTCAGTACAATACACAAGAAGCAAAAGACATATATGCATTTAACATCAGTTGCAGCAAATTAAACTAATTTTCTCAGTAGGCTTATGTAATTTGTTCCATAGGTGCAATGCTGTTGTTATTAATAAGGCAATTGGGTCGGCACAATGAAAATTCTTTTCTGTTGCAGAACAAGCATCCTGAAATATCTAGATAGCATATTTTAGGCACTTTTAGCAAGGCTGCCCATTAATACTTTTCACAAACACTTTAATGTACCTCTTGACCAAAATATATTTTAGAGCTACTTTCCACCAAAACCACTGATTTTTATAGTAAAAAAGGTAGGGTTTCGAACGGAGATTCAAGAATATTCTTATAGTTGCGCGTTTTGTGCTCCACTCTTTGGTAATAAGATTAAAAAATTTTTCTTATTCGAATAAATGGACTTCTTAAGGCAATGGCCTCAAATTCCATTGGCTAGATACGGACATTGGACGTTGTAGTGTGCGGCAGCTGTGCCTTCTTGTCTTAGAGTTTCGAAGTAATTTTCTGACTTTTTGTATTTTTGTACTTTTCTGGGTCTTGCTTTACAGTTTCCCCGGTTAGGCATTGTTGAAATGTCCATACACGTGCATTTATTACAAGACTGTCAGCAGGTTCGTGTGTAACCTATTTGATTATTTCGAGTAATAAGTTAGGACGTAATGCTGCTGGCATTTATGTCTGGTGGTTCTTTTTTATAATTCTTATGGTGTTTTGGTCTGAGCTATTTAATGATATTCCTTGTGAGGCTGGCGTTTGGGATTGTTCTACCCTAAACGTATTTTTACCATCCAGACCTTGATAATTAAGACTACTTCAGTTCATTCACCGACATTCTAAAATCTCTTTCTGTATAACGAGTAATGTATTTGTCAGCTCTTGTGGTAATTCAGTCCTCTGGAAATATTCGCGATAAAATGCATCTCCGTCCGGGAACAAATGACTTTTCGAATGCATTTAGTTTTTGCATTACTGCGCTTACTGCATTGATCTAGCATATTGTATGAGTTGCTGACTTATTCGATGTTTTGTAATTTATTCTAAGCTTTCATTGATATGAACAAACAGGTTTCAAATATTCATCACAACCATATTTCGTGACATTAAATTGTACGCCTATCCGAATATATTTCTTCAACACTTTGATTATATTCTTAATCTATTTTGCCAAGTCTATCACTTCTCTAATATATATGGCAAGCGAAAAAATTGGGGATATTTCCTTCTATTTTTCCTTCCTACTAGTGGTTTCATCTCTCACAAATCGAAAAGTTATCTTTCTTATCTTACTGCAGCAATGCCTAACTTTAAATTGTATCATGTCGGCTTTGTTGTTTTTAGACTGGCTGGCCGACATAATTATACTAGTTTCGGACATAAAGAAGATCTGGATCCGCAAAACAAATTTTCCATCCCAAGCCCCGCCGATCACCCGGGAAAGCATCGGTCAGGTAAGTCTGTTTACCGCTTTTCTACTTTGGTCTCGTTCCGCCCTTTCCGTTCGAATAAAATTTATGTGTGCATTCATGTAGTACATTCGATGACCTCGCGTCGTGACGTCTATTAACTTTCTGGTAAGTTAAAAAGGAAATCAAGAGGTGCTTAATTTTCGATTGCTGTTTATTTCCCAGTCTCGATTTGTGCGTGCTTTGCATGCATTACTCCAACTGCTCCTCAAATAGTCTCCGTGCAAACGCTAGGCTGAGCATGTTGTCCGCCCTGAGATTTTTCCTATTTACTCTCATTTTGTTTCGCCAATGTTACTCTCCCCTAGCCTTCCTTTTCTTGCACACTGAGGGCAAATATGACGTGGTAATAACTAGGTTTGAGCTACGCCAAGATATGCAAGTTTTTCCCATGTCCTTGCAGGAGTGTGGGTTCGACGTTACGCGTAGATGAAGATGAGTTGCTACGTTTGAAGATATTTATATCTATCTTAACGAAAACTTGTGGTCAGTGTCAGCGCGTAAAGGTCCTTTTTATTTTACTTGTCTTTCGACTTATCATTTATTGATACTAAACTGTTAGATCCTTTCATTTGTAACCTTTTAGGCCTTTGATTTTGTGCGTCAGTTTGTCCGCCCTATTCCCCAAAAAGCATTAATATTTGTCAAATTTACGGATTGTTTTTGCGTGAAATGTCTGCGTGCACTTGTATTTTCATCACTCCTTACAAGTCTCGGGAAACCAATCGCTTTGAGTTGCTGGAAGTACTTGTAATTTTCAAGAACTCGCATTTTTCTCATAGGGACTTAGCGTCAATACTCACAACATTGGTCCTCCTTGCACTTCGCTTAATCCTAGTTTGTGCAAGAGTGGCTTACTGCATATCGGACTTTTAAACACAAAAGTTTCCGTTCATTTTGAGCGTTCGCGTCTTTCGTTGGCGTATTGCCAAGACTTTTTGATGTCGTCTGGTGAACATTGAATCCACCACCAATCAGTGGTGTGAGTTTATAGCGCCTTACACTGTGACTTAATTCCACACGCTTGCGCGCCATCGGCCTGGAAATGATCATTCTATACTATTCAAATCACTTGTTTTATTTGAAGTACTTTTTTTTAAACGCCATGAATACACGAAACTTCCGATTGTGGCGGCCATGTCTGGTTTTGCTGGCGTTATGTGAGCAACTGGTTATTTTTTATGGTTTAGAGGAGGAAATTCCTTGCTCTTTCTATGCTTCGCTCCTAGTGTATTTTTTTCGAAATTTTCCGATTAGTGGGAATTGTTGGATCAATTTCCCACCTTGAGTCAGGGTCAAGATGCCGCGATTTAAAGCTTGCAACCGTGCATTGCGTCAAACCGTTTTTCCTCCGCCTTCCCAGCGTCGGGCGTTGGTGTGCTACTTTTCTGCTTGCATTCGCTTTTTCCCTTGCCATTCCCGCCTACTGATCATTTGGACGTTTTCTTGTTTAATACCTTTTTTATACGTCTCACGAAGTTCGTGGAATTTTGCGCTCTGCCGAGTTGTCACACAATCTCATTATTTACCTTCCGCTTTCCTCTTGCGTCAAAAATTTGCGCATCTCAATGCTCAGAAAGATGTTACCTTGTTTCTTCACGCATCAAAATCACATGATAAAAGATTGGATTGTGTGAACACTTTCGTGACATTGGAGGGAGGTGTGTACGTGTGTGTGCTCTTTTCGTTTTAATAGGTTATATTGGAACCGGCGTCCAGTGCTCATTGAATTCTCGGATAGCCCGGTCACTTCAATCGCCACTTATTTTTAGGATTCTCTACCAGTTTCTACATAGACCTAGGCAAGAAAACTGGTCTTATGTGGCAAATTCAATAGGGGCTGAGCACGCCAGACCGTTCTAAGCGGTTTTTGTTTGAGCACTTGGGGTACTCAAAAAGTAAGGCTTTGGGTGTGCAAGGTCTCCACTGTCGACAAGGCATGTAGAACCGGAGCCCCGGTGTCTGTGTGGGTGCCAGCCGGCTAAAGTGCTGACGCATGGATTGGTTCCTTCTTGTATGCTTGATTGGCAGCGGTCTTACTGCGAATATTGGCATACAGGTGGGAATTAGGGAATGATTTAGAACGTTTGGGAAAGGGAACATTAATATAATTGGTGGTTCCAAAAAAAATAATAGACGCCATTTTTAGGGTTGCAGACATCTTGGACAATTTGGGTTAGGGCCAATTCTTTCCATTCTATTCATTTTGCGTTCCACTGATCTCTACAGACTCTCCAACTTGATAAATGATCAGTTTGTTGTGGTGCGTGGATTCTCTGCTGCCTCGTCCATCTTGGGGTTCCAATAAAATTCTTTTTCTAGCAAACTCGGACCCCTCTAATGAAGTCATTTTCCCAGACCTGAGTCACATTCCTTCTATATTCAGTGAGCGCTTTATCTCGTTCGCCTATTTGACGAATCTTACCTAAATAGGTCTTTGATATCGGAGCGTGCAGTTACCTGTGGACCAGTATTTCTTGAGTTTGCCTTGACCATCCTTCAGCGTCCTCGTCCTATTCACACCCTACCGGAGTGCTGAAAATTGCCCAAGATATGCAATGAAAAGAAAGCAGAGCCCATGTTTTGTTGACGCTGGTGTAATTTGTGTACCAAGTCTCATTTCGGTACAATTTCTGTGCGGGTGGGTGTGTATGAGTGTTTTAATTTATGCGCATGCCTCAATACGACCGTTCAAACTTTGTTGATTTGACTTCGGTTCTCTGCTGAGCGATTGATCCTCGAAGGTACGCACATCCCTGGCATATGCACAGTGGCAGCCCAAT